TTCTCCCTGAGTCCGGCCTTCATGATTCCATTCCATTCCATTCCATCACAGATACAGATATTTATAGATGTGCAACCATATCGCTAATCCATGTATGTGATTTAATTATGCCGAAAAACAGCAGTAACCCTAAGGCATGTCACTTACTTCAGAATACAGTAAAGCCTTAATTTTATGGACCACTTGGAGGGAAGAGGTGTCTGTTAAATCCATATGTCCATTAAATCCAAATGGATGTAATTGGCATAATTTGTCACTCGCAGTAATTTTGTGATTGATATAATTATGTCAACTGAGTCCATTTACTTGATTTGCAATGATGTAATATTATGCTAATGATGTAATTATGTTGATTATATAGTTCTGCAAATGGAAAAATTGATGCAAATTTTGGTAATTGTCCAGACTGCTTTAGAAACAATGGACCAGAGTGAAGTCTGAACTAAAATGTCCACTGCATCTGAAGTCCACTGAATGAGGGTCTGTAAAATTAAGGCGTTGCTGTAGTTAACATCATCACGTCTAGTTCAGGCTTAAATCTTCTTGGAAATGCACACAAAAAGTCAGCAATTGACACATTGTTTCCTGAATTTAAACAAGATGCTAGGATTCCTTTACCCAGGCAGTGGTTTAAGATGAGACTTTTGCTTCTCCATTTTTACAGTCTCTGTAGTAGCCCCAAATCTGCTCTCTGAGATGTCTTTCCCCACCTTCCCTTGCTGCCCTCTTATCCACAACACCCTGGATGCCAGCCCCACTAGGTAGACCAGACCAGGAAACCAACTCCAAAGAAAGGCTAAAACTACATTTATTGAGACTGGCTACAGGAAGAGAATCTTTTAAATCTGATTGTGCTGTATCTCTTCCCCTTCTTATACTCCAGTGAATTAGGGAGGTGTCTGTCTGAGCTCTTTCCAAATGTTATCTCGTTGCTCCAGACTTTAAAAATGCTTTAGCTCCTTTTGCTGAGTACCAGTTCCTGCATATCTCCATCAAGGTTACCTTCCTTTCTTTCTACACTAGGAGAGGGCAGGGCCCAAACTTTCTGTCTTTTGGATTCTTTTAGATGGGAAGGTTTATATTTAAGTCACCCAGTTCACCTCTTTAAAACCTCAAAAACTAAACCGATTTTTTCTGCCTGGGGAGAAATTAAGGGGGGAACATGATGGCCTTAATGTATGCCAGGGTTTCTCAGTCTTGGCTGTTTTAAGATGTGTGGACTTCAACTCCCAGAATTCCCCAGCCAGCATGACTT